TCCTGCAAGGTAGGCGGGCCTGCGACCCACCGGCAGAAGAGGAGCAGCGGCCTGCTGGGAGGCAGAGCCGCCCCCTCCCCCCCGCGCCTGCAAGGTAGTCGGAACTGAGACCACCATCAGAACAGGTCAGACCTGCAACCGAGAGACAGAACAGGCCCAGTGGCCTGAGGAAGGGTAGAGCCGCCCCCCCACACACGCCTGCAAAGTAGGCGGACCTGCGACCCACTGGCAGTACAGCCCCAGAGGCCTGCAGAGGGGCAGTGCCGCTGCCTGCGCCTACAAAGTAGGCAGAACTGCGACCACCGACAGAACAAGCCTAGCGGCCCGCAGAGGGACAGAGCCGCCGCCCGCGCCTGCAAGGACGGCGGACCTGCTACCGACTGGCAGAGCAGGCCCAGCGGCCTGCCGGCGTGGTAGGCACATTGCCCCAATTGGAGGAGGGGCAGAGCCGCCGCCCGTGCCTGCGAGGGAGACTTTGCAACTATACAAGACCAATATAAATATATAGGGGGAAAATTCAATAGCACAACAGTTTCACCAAGAAGAAAGGAACGCGAACAGTATGAAGAGACAAGGAAAGAAAGGACCACAAGCATTGCAGGTCAACTCAACTTTAGAAGAGGTAATAGCTGCAGCTGATGGAATGTCAGATAAAGAATTCAGGATATACATGCTTCAGATGATCTGGAGTCTCAAGGAAGACATCAGACAGCAAAATCAGACAATGAAAGATCACTTCAACAATGAATTACATAAACAAATCCAAGAAGCAAATGATCAACTATACAGGGAAATAGAGGTTATAAAAAACAAACAAACAGAAATCCTAGAAATGCAGGAAGCAATAAGCCAACTTAAAAACTCAATTGAGAATACTACCAGCAGAGTAGAACACTTAGAAGACAGAACATCAGACAATGAAGATAAAGTATATCAACTTGAAAAGAACATAGACAGCTCAGCAAGACTGTTAAGAAACCATGAGCAGAACATCCAAGAAATATGGGATAACATCAAGAGACCAAATTTAAGAGTCATTGGGATACAGGAAGGAACAGAGTTTCAAACCAAAGGAATGAGCAATCTATTCAATGAAATAATTCGAGAAAACTTCCCAGATTTGAAGAATGAGACAGAACCCCAAATCCTAGAAGCCTACAGGACGCCGAATGTGCAAAATCATAAGAGACCCACACCTAGACACATTATAATGAAGATGCCCAACATACAGAACAAGGAGAGAATTTTAAAAGCTACAAGAGAAAGGAAGCAGATCACATTTAGGGGTAAGCCAATCAGGATAACAGCTGATCTTTCAACACAGACTCTGAAAGCTAGAAGATCCTGGAATAACATATTTCAAACACTGAAAGAAAATGGGTTCCAACCAAGAATTGTGTTTCCAGCGAAATTAAGCTTCAGGATGGAAGATGAAATTAAAACCTTCCACGATAAACAAAAGTTAAAAGAATTTGCAGCTAGAAAACCATCTCTTCAAAACATCCTTGGCAAAACATTACAGGAAGAGGAAATGGAAAATAACAATGAAAACCAACAGTGGGAGGTAGGACACTAAAGGGGGGAAAATAATCAAAGTGGAAAACAAACCATGTTTAGTAACATAAATAAACAAATATGGCTGGAAGAACAACCCATATCTCAATAATAACCCTAAATGTTAATGGCTTAAACTCGCCAATTAAGAGACACAGGCTAGTAGAATGGATCACAAAACAAGACCCAACAATATGCTGCCTACAGGAGACGCATTTGATAGGAAAAGACATACATAGGCTGAAGGTGAAAGGTTGGGAAAAATCATATCACTCATATGGACTTCGGAAACAAGCAGGAGTATCCATACTCATATCAAATAAAATAGATTTCAAGCCAAAGTTAATCAAAAGGGATAAAGAGGGACACTACATACTGCTCAAGGGAACCATACACCAACAAGACATAACAATCATAAATATATATGCCCCAAACAATGGTGCAGCTATGTTCATCAAACAAACTCTTCTCAAGTTCAAGAGTCTAATAGACCACCATACAATAATCATGGGAGACTTCAACACACCTCTATCACCACTGGACAGATCTTCCAAACAAAAGTTGAATAAGGAAACTATAGAACTCAATAACACAATTAATAACCTAGATTTAATTGACATATATAGAATATACCACCCAACATCAAACAGTTACACTTTTTTCTCAGCAGCACATGGATCCTTCTCAAAAATAGATCATATATTATGTCACAGGGAAACTCTTAGACAATACAAAGGAGTAGAGATAATACCATGCATCCTATCTGATCATAATGGAATGGAACTGAAAATCAACGATAAAAGAAGGAAGGAAAAAGAATACATCACTTGGAGAATGAACAATAGGTTACTGAATGATCAATGGGTTATAGAAGACATCAAGGAGGAAATTAAAAAATTCTTAGAGATTAATGAAAACACAGACACAACATATCGGAATCTATGGGACACATTGAAAGCAGTTCTAAGAGGAAAATTCATTGCTTGGAGTTCATTCCTTAAAAAAAGAAAAAACCAACAAATAAATGATCTCATACTTCATCTCAAAATCCTAGAAAAAGAAGAGCAAAACAACAGCAAAAGAAGTAGAAGGCAAGAAATAATTAAAATCAGAGCTGAAATCAATGAAATCGAAACAAAAGAAACAATTGAAAAAATTGACAAAACTAAAAGTTGGTTCTTTGAAAAAATAAACAAAATCGACAGACCCTTAGCCATGCTAGCGAAGAGAAGAAGAGAGAGAACTCAAATCACTAACATACGGGATGAAAGAGGCAATATCACAACAGACACTTCAGAAATACAGAAGATAATAAAAAATTATTTTGAATCCTTATACTCCAATAAATTAGAAGATAGTGAAGGCATCGATAAATTTCTTAAGTCATATGATCTGCCCAGATTGAGTCAGGAGGATATAGACAACCTAAACAGACCAATATCAATTGAGGAAATAGAAGAAACCATCAAAAGACTACCAACTAAGAAAAGCCCAGGACCGGATGGGTATACAGCAGAGTTTTACAAAACCTTTAAAGAGGAACTAATACCAATACTTTTCAAGCTACTTCGGGAAATAGAAAAAGAGGGAGAACTTCCAAATTCATTCTACGAGGCCAACATCACCCTGATACCTAAACCAGACAAAGACACTTCAAAGAAAGAAAACTACAGACCAATATCTCTAATGAACCTAGATGCAAAAATCCTCAATAAAATTCTGGCCACTCGGATACAAAGGCACATCAAAAAAATTGTGCACCATGATCAAGTAGGATTCATCCCTGGGATGCAAGGCTGGTTCAATATAAGGAAATCAATAAATGTTATTCACCACATCAATAGACTTAAAAATAAGAACCATATGATCATCTCGATAGATGCGGAAAAAGCATTCGACAAAGTACAGCATCCCTTTATGTTCAAAACTCTAGAAAAACTAGGGATAACAGGAACATACCTCAATATTGTAAAAGCAATCTATGCTAAGCCTCAGGCTAGCATCATTCTGAATGGAGAAAAATTGAAGGCATTCCCTCTAAAATCTGGAACAAGACAGGGATGCCCTCTCTCACCACTTCTGTTCAACATAGTTCTCAAAACACTGGCCAGAGCAATTTGACAGACGAAAGAAATTAAAGGCATCAAAATAGGAAAAGAAGAACTTAAATTATCACTATTTGCAGATGACATGATTCTATACCTAGCAGACCCAAAAGGGTCTACAAAGAAACTATTAGAGCTAATAAATGAATTCAGCAAAGTGGCAGGATATAAAATCAACACGCATAAATCAAAGGCATTCCTGTATATCAGCGACAAATCCTCTGAAATGGAAATGAGGACAACCACTCCATTCACAATATCTTCAAAAAAAATAAAATACTTGGGAATCAACCTAACAAAAGAGGTGAAAGACTTATACAATGAAAACTACAGAACCCTAAAGAGAGAAATAGAAGAAGATCTTAGAAGATGGAAAAATATACCCTGTTCATGGATAGGCAGAACTAACATCATCAAAATGGCGATATTACCAAAAGTTCTCTATAGGTTTAATGCAATGCCAATCAAAATCCCAACGGCATTTCTTGTAGAAATAGAGAAAGCAATCATGAAATTCATATGGAAAAATAAAAGACCCAGAATAGCAAAAACAATGCTAAGCAGGAAGTGTGAATCAGGCGGTATAGCGATACCAGACTTCAAACTATATTACAGAGCAATAGTAACAAAAACAGCATGGTACTGGTACCAAAACAGGCGGGTGGACCAATGGTACAGAATAGAGGACACAGAAACCAATCCACAAAACTACAACTATCTTATATTTGATAAAGGGGCTAAAAGCATGCAATGGAGGAAGGATAGCATCTTCAACAAATGGTGCTGGGAAAACTGGAAATCCATATGCAACAAAATGAAACTGAATCCCTTTCTCTCGCCATGCACAAAAGTTAATTCAAAATGGATCAAGGAGCTTGATATCAAATCAGAGACGCGCCGTCTGATAGAAGAAAAAGTTGGCTACGATCTACAGTCGGTGGGGTCGGGCTCCAAATTCCTCAATAGGACACCCATAGCACAAAAGTTAATAACTAGAATCAACAAATGGGACTTACTCAAACTAAAAAGTTTTTTCTCAGCAAAAGATACAATAAGAGAGGTAAATAGAGAGCCTACATCCTGGGAACAAATCTTTACTCCTCACACCTCAGATAGAGCCCTAATATCCAGAGTATACAAAGAGCTCAAAAAATTAGACAATAAGAGAACAAACAACCCAATCAACAAATGGGCCAAGGACCTGAACAGACACTTCTCAGAGGAGGACATACAATCAATCAACAAGTACATGAAAAAATGCTCACCATCTCTAGCAGTCAGAGAAATGCAAATCAAAACCACCCTAAGATACCATCTCACTCCAGTTAGATTGGCAGCCATTATGAAGTCAAACAACAACAAGTGCTGGCGAGGATGTGGGGAAAAGGGTACACTTGTACATTGCTGGTGGGACTGCAAATTGGTGCAGCCAATTTGGAAAGCAGTATGGAGATTTCTTGGAAAGCTGGGAATGGAGCCACCATTTGACCCAGCTATTCCCCTTCTCGGTCTATTCCCTAAAGACCTAAAAAGAGCATGCTACAGGGACACTGCTACATCGATGTTCATAGCAGCACAATTCACAATAGCTAGACTGTGGAACCAACCTAGATGCCCTTCAATGCATGAATGGATAAAAAAAATGTGGCATTTATACACAATGGAGTATTACTCTGCATTAAAAAATGACAAAATCATAGAATTTACAGGGAAATGGATGGCATTAGAGCAGATTATGCTAAGTGAAGCTAGCCAATCCCTAAAAAACAAATGTCAAATGTCTTCTTTGATATAAGGAGAGTAGCTAAGAACAGAGTAGGGTCGAAGAGCATGAGAAGAAGATTAACATTAAACAGGGATGAGAGGTGGGAGGGAAAGGGAGAGAGAAGGGAAAATGCATGGAAATGGAAGGAGACCCTCAGAGGTATACAAAAGTACATACAAGAGGAAGTGAGGGGAAGGGGAAAAATAATACAAGGGGGACAAACGAATGTCAGTAAAGGGGGCAGAGAGAGAAGAGGGGAGGGGAGGGGAGGGGGGATAGTAGAGGATAGGAAAGACAGCAGAATACAACAGACACTAGTATGGCAATATGTAAATCAATGGATGTGTAACTGATGTGATTCTGCAATCTGTATATGGGGTAAAAATGGGAGCTCATAACCCACTTGAATCAAATTGTGAAATATGATATATCAAGAACTATGTAATGTTTTGAACAGCCAACAATAAAAAATTTAAAAAAAAAAATTCAAAAGAAACATGAAGAGCTAAAATGTTGTGAAAAACAATGTTAACCTTCACTAGTAATTTTCAAAGATGCAAATCAAAATCAGGAGAGATGACCTGGTGCTGAGGTGCACACCTGTAATCCCAGCTATGAGACTGAGGCAGGAGAATTGCAAATTTGAGGCCAGTCTGGGCAACTTGTGAGACTCAGTCTTAAAATAAAAAAATAGAAAGAGCTGGGGATATAGGTCAGTGGTAGAGCATTCCTGGGTTCAATCCCCAGTACTGATAGATTAAGTAATTGTTCAATTGATTCAGGAGAGGCCTTGTTTTACTGTCAGATTAACAAAGATATCGAAAACAATAGTAATCGTTGCTAAGTGTGTCATGAAGCAAGCTCCCACTCACTGCTGTTATGGTATAAATGGATGCAGTCTTCTTGGAAAGAAATTTAGCACTATATTTTAAGAGCTTGAACTTTTTAATACCTTGGTATGATTTAATAATTCCAGGACTCTTGTCCAAGAACACATTGAAGGTGTAAGTACAAAATAATTATGTGTTATTTTTAGAAGCAAAATCCTTGAACCACCTCAACTGTCCTCCAATATTAGCATTATTAACCTAAGTATTGATACACAACAGTTTTCAGACAGTGGTATACCTCGCGAGTAGAAAACATTATTGTCCTTACAATGAAACTTTTATCATCAGATGGGAAAATACTTTTTAGGGTACATTAATATTCAGTGACAATACTGAGTAAGGCAGTATTGTAATATTTTTCATATAAAAATGCCTAGAGCAAAAAGTGGAAACAAATATGCTAAATTGTGAATAATGGAGTCGCTTATGGGAACTAGAATTAAAAATGATTTTTTTCTCTGATTCATAGTTTTTGGTACTTTCCAGATATTTTTATAGTGAGCATTTATAACCAGAAGAAGAAAAAAATTTTATGGCTTCATAGGAAGAAACTTATGCTCATCATGTATACTTGGCCTTCCATCGTCTCTTTTTCAGAGCTTACAGAGTTAAGTATACTACCAAAATGATTGAAAAGTAAAGGTTGATTTCACAAAAAATTAGAAAACAAAGATTCGTGGGTTTTTTTTAGCATTCTGAGAATTTCTTCTTTTCTTAGAAACAACAACAATAATGATAACAAAAGCAAAGTTAAAAATGCCTCCCTTAGTTAGCAATGTTATTAATATGTTGTATGTCAGAGTAGAGTTTAAATTCAAATGAGAATATTTTTCCCTTGTAGATGTCGTCAGCTTCTGAAAATGGAGATGCAGCTCCTGGAAAACAAAATGAAGAAAAAACCTATAAGAAGGTAAGCGTCTTTTGTTCTTTCTTCAACTCCTGAAGTGGAGCCCTGGTCTACTGTTTGGCATGTTAATATTGTCAGAGGCCTTTTCTTCCTTTAAAGCAGTTTTAAGTTACTGTTTTAGCTTCCTGTTGCTGCTCTACCACAAACTTGGCGTTTGAATAACACAAATCATTATAGTTATGAAGGTCAGAAATCTGCCCTGGGTCTCCTTGATGTCTGCAGAGCTGCATCCTTCCTGGGAGATCTAGGGGAGCACCATTTCCTTGTTCTTTCCAGCTTCTAGAGGCTGTCTGCATTCCCCATACCATGTCTCCTGTCCATCTCCAATCCAGTAGTGGCTGCTGGGCATTTTTTCCTGCTATGTCACTCGCCACTTTAAAGAATCTGTGTGATTACATGAAGCCCTCCTGCTTTCAAGTCCAGGATGATTTCTTTATTAGAAAGTCAACTAAACAGCAACCTTAATTTTCTCTGTAGCTTCAACTCCTCTTTGCCATAGAATGTGACATACAGTCCCCAAGGATTAGGGCGAGGAAATCTTTGGGAGCCATTTTCTGCCCACCACACTTACCGTGATAGACTATAAGGGAAGGTAGTTATTATTCCTAAGGTGGCTGTTAAGGGCACACAGTGTTCAGCATCTAGTATATGATTTCTTTAATGGACTTGTTGCTTTCCACCAGAATTTTAAACATTTTCTACCTTTGGAGTTTAAACAAAGCTGAAGTGTGAAATTCTACACACATGCACGCGCGCGCGTGTGCGCGCGCTTGCACTTTTTCTGAGCCTCTCAGATTTCATGTCTTTAGCTCATTTCACAAAAATCTTAATTTTTCAGACTTCCCAATATATCTTATCTTACTACTCTTTGAATTTGATAAATCCTTGGTTCCTAGCAAGCAATTAATGTTCAGAGACATTTCTGGGTAAAATGTGTCCCCAGGCACTGCTATTGCTGATTATAAATAGACTATACAGCTTTTAAAAGTTCTTTCCCTCCTGCCCTCTTGGGAATAGGAGGTTTGTGTATTGAGGTTTTATTATATTTTAATTTTCCCTTTTACCTGTTACTCTTTGATGGATCAGTGATGAGACATTTTGTCAGTAAGTGCTTGAATCATTTGATCTGACCACATATTCAGATGATCAAACTAACATGATACATTTCCTGTTCAGTTTTTATGGGGAATAATATGTCCTTTTTTCCTGATATATCTTTCTTATCTGAGTTTTCTATTCATCCAAACCTATAAGTTTAAACCTATAAGGTTATCATCCAGAATGATGATGCAATTAGGGAAAAGCCGGGTGGGGACTCAAGAGCTCAGAAATGTCACTCTGTATTATCTTATAAAATTTGTGCATCTGGCCAAAGGTTACAATACACTATTATTGTTTATTTTTAGATACTGGTAGTAAAAACAAATGCCCTTATTTGTCTAAGACTCCACGTAAACTCAGTCAGTCATGAGACCAACATAGAGATGGTCTCTAAGCCTGACATTACTTCAGGTCAGTGTCAGGCAGCATTCTTGATCAGCATTGCACAGTGCAGACTGTTGACTGAATCCTGACCCACAGGAGCTCCTTCCTGATGCAAACATAATGCAAAGAATATGATCATGACAACCTGAAGTTAGTTAAGTGTGTCTGGCCCAAGAATTTAGTAAAGCAGGTTGTAAGTAATATTCTAGGTGGGATTCTACCTTTAATGTCTCTAATGGAATATTTAGCTCAGAAGTGTTGGGAAAGTTATAAAAACTAAAAATCAGATTCTGTGATAACAAGTAATTTCAGTAGATAAAAGAAGAAAAGGAAAGTTAAAAGGGGAACAAGAATGAAAAAAACCTAACTCCACACACAAAACAAAATACCAACAACAACAGAGATCTTTTTGATGATCTCTGATTTTAAAAGGCATGTAAGCAATGGATGGTAAGGTATGCAGCTCCTCTAAGGAAAACACTGGAAAACAAAAACCAGCTCATCCCCTAGAACCTTAACCCTCAGTTAAATGGTATTGATATGCACAGCAGGAAGAAAGGATCACTTACAAAGAGTGTTGCTTTGCTGACAGATAAAAGCTTAGCTGAATTATTCAATTTAATTCTTCTCCATTAAGCAGTATATCTTCAAACTGGAGAAGGTGTTAATGAAAGAGTTAGGAGAGGTGATAATATGAGGCACATTCACTATTGCAAACATGTCTCTCTCTGGACCCCATAAACCATTTCCCAGATGAAAGAACTTGAAGCTAGAAGACAGAAATGCCTGAGTGTGAGCTTTGAATGCATTTGAGAATAGGAGGATGGTTATAAGGCAGGAGATAAGAAAATATTATCCCTAATTTTGGGGGGTACCGGGGATTGAATTCAGGGGCATTCAATCACTGAGGCACATCCCCAATCCTATTTTGTATTTTATTTAGAGACAGGGTCTCACTTAGTTGCTTAGCATCTCAATTTTGCTGAAGCTGGCTTTGAACTTGCAATCCTCCTGCCTCAGCCTTCTGAGCCACTGGGATTACAGGTATGCACCACCACACTGGGCTTTCCTATTTTTTTACACGAGGGAAAAATGACAAAGAAACTGGAAATGACAGGTCACAGACTAGATGAGTATCATCAAGGCCACCATGAACTTCGTTAGTTATGATCTTTACAAATAACTTAAAATTTCTTTCCTAGTCCTATAGCTCTGATGAGCCATTGTGTCTTTGCTGTGACTTAAGCCAATTCAGGTAGCCCAAGTTAAGGAGCCCCCGTCTACTGTGCTACAAACAAGAAAGAGAGGAAAGGAGTCAATAAGAAACATGCAGTAGATTGAGGGAAACAAGACTTGTAAACAACTGTAATCAGCAGTGTCTAACGAGATGACTAAAAGAGAAAAACTCAGTATGAGTCTGTGTTAACCAGCTGGCTTAGGCTTTCTGAATAATACCCAAGATTTACTGAGCAGCAACAAGCAACACTCAGTATCATGAATGTTATGATTTCCACATGTTTTTAGGGAACACTCAGTTTCAAGGAACAATTCCATACTCTCCCTCTCTTGATTATTTGCACATGATTGTTTAGGCTGCCTGCTTTTTTTCCAAACTCCATTTGACCATTTCCCTAATCCATTATCAGTCCTTGGCAAGCCCAGGAGGAAGTGTTAAACATAAGGTTAATGTCATCAGCTAAAGGCTAAAATAAGTTTGGTTTTAGCTGCCTAAAACAAACAAGCTGCCCATTAAGACAGGCATTAAGAGCTGCCTCGCTATATTTACAGAGTCTAGTATTTCGATTCTCAGGTAATTCACTGAGTATCTTCTGCAAGAGTTGCAAATGCAAAAGCCTAGAGCCACGACACAGGTAATAAAGGAGTGAAATAATAGGGGAACCATCAGGAGAATATAGACCTTTATAAGGGGAGGGGTAGCACTCTGCTCCAGCTAATAGAGCAACGCATGAGTGCTTGCCCAGGACTGACATGTGGTCTGATTTCTCAGGAAACCAGAAATAAGCATTTTGATGTGAAATTTTTTAAATCATCAACTATTCCCCCAATTTTTTAAAAAATATACTCTCAGCAAAACAACATGCCCTTGGAACAGATCAGGCCCATAAGCTGCAGTGTTTTACAACCTCTGACCCACTGTTGGTATGAAAAAGTGAGGAAGAGAAGAAAAGGATTCAAAAGAAATACCTGTTAGAACTTGTCTCTGCTTCACATGACCTTAGGATTTATTTGAGAGGAAAAAATGTGATCCCATGTGAAAAAAAAAATTAATGAACCAAATCAGTATTAGTGCCAGGATAAATAGCATTTTATTTAATCAGCTTGCAAATCCTGATGAGCTCCAAACTCACAACAGTGTTCTGAGGCTTTTCCCAGGCTTGTTAGCAGAGCATTTTCCTGGGACAAAATTTTATAATGTCTCATTGTCATGACAAAACTCCAAATCTTTTAGTTGACCGTATTTTCTGTTTTACTTACTTATTTGTCTTCATGATAGAGAATTTTATGAGCCCAGGCACAGAATCGGGATGAGTGTGGTTTGTTGGAAGAGGGGGAGAGACCAGACTGAACAAAGTCAGGTGTCAGTGTTTGGGGAAAATAGCAGGTAATTTGGGAAATATAGACTGGGTCTGAGTGATACCTAGTCTTAGGGATTGGAGGGCTTCAATCCACATTATATGACTAATATGTTCTAGGCCAGTGTTGTCCAGTAGAATACCTGAGGCTGTTGGGTTTTGAAACATGCCAAGGTGTCCAAACACCTGAATTTTTTTTAATCTTGATTTTGGAAAATTTAAGCTTAAATAATACATGTGGCTGATGGCTACCATGCCAGACAGTATACATTATTGGTTCCATGACATCGTTGTGGAGGATAGTGAAATAATGCAATGACTATGCAAATCTAGTCACAGTGTGCAAGTTCTATGCAGCCAGGAGACAGTGACATGGGAAGCTTTTCTGTTAGTTGAACAACACAGTTGGGTATAAATCTGGGTACAAAAAGAGGAAATCTGGGTATGGTGGTGCATACCTGTAATCTCAGCAGTTCTAGAGATTGAGGCAGGAAGATCACAAGTTCAAAGCCAGATTCAGCAACTTAGCAAGACCCTGTCTCAAAATTTAAAAAAGAGCTGGAGATGTGGCTCAGTTGTTGAGAGTCCTTGGGTTCAATTCCTGATACAAAAAAAAAAGTAAAGATTAAAAAAAAAAATCACAGTTAAGACAGACCTAAAATTTTCCAATCAGAGTGACTACCAGAACATTTCTGCCATTGATGAAACTAAAAAATTTGGGGAAAGAATGTATTTTGGTTTTGGTTTTGTTTTTATAATAGGGCAGGAGGTCTCATTAAGGGTAGTATTAACTAGGTGAAATACTGACTGAAACCAGCAATCCAAGTATTCTCTATTTTAAATGTGAAAAAAATTGCCCAGCCCAATCCTAACCCTTCCAAAAACAGCAGATAGCGTGGCAATTCAATGTCAAATGCCAGGTCA